TTGCAACAATGTCTATCAAAGTTGTGGCGTCCAAGCCGTGGTTGTGCTCAGAGCACTGCAATCATCAGGTCGAATACCAGGTGGAGGTAAAAGACCAAATTCACAAGGATGAGGATTTTATTGTGCACAAAACCCTGAGTTGCTGTCTCAGGCAACGGTGGCCACTGGCGAAGCCAGGGCTGATGTTGACTGCGTTCAGTGGTGCCCGGGAATGTGCGAATGACTGTTCGTATTTGATGACGAGAAAGCTGTCAGCTGCTTTTAGATGACTGTGAAGCGATTTGAAGTGGTGTACTATTTGTTTGTTGCACTACCCGAAGGCGGTGTCGCGTATAGAGGCCCCTGCTACGTTGGTCGAGGGGTGGCGTATTCAAGTTGACCTTAAGCAGCTGTGACGATTTCGACACGCATGTGTGCGCGCGTATATTCGCACGATGGTGTCAGTCAAGCGTCTTAGGGCCAGTGAGGGGGAAGCAGCCGCCTGCGAAGGCACATGACGTTGACGCAGCAAGCATTGGGTGGGGGACAGCATTGTTGGCCGTCCGCCATAAAACAACGGATCAATAATTTGATGAGAAAGTTTTCGGACGGAAAATTTCTTCGAGGGGTGGATGAGTGAAATAGATCCGACAAAGCAAAGGAAGACCGGAATGGCTATTCCTGGCTTGTTACCCATCACTAACCAGCCATACGTAATCAAGGGTTGGAAACACCGAGATTCGAGCACGAGACCTTTAGTCATTGAGTTTACCACTCTACTACTGCACCACGGGCTAGTTGCTTTGTCAGTTGAGTTCGGGAATCTGATGAATATGTGGGCATCGCCGATCTGGTAGTGCAAAAATTGGGTTCCGTTTCGCCCTGGAGCTCACAATTAGAGAAACGGAACTTAATTGTTCCACTACCAGATCGGCGAAACCCATATATTCATCATATTCCCGATTTCAATCGACAAAGCAACGAGCCCGTAGTACGACGATAGTGTGGTATACCCAATGCCGAAATGTCTCGGATTCGAATCTCGAGGGTTCCAGGTCCTGAGATTAGGTATGACGGGCTGATGACGGCTAACAAGCCAGAAATGGCCATTCC